GCTAAAAAAGAGGACAGATTTGAGATCTAGCTTTGAATACGAGAATAAATGCTCTCTATTAATTCATAACGTATGTCTTCTTATAACTCATAAGAAATTTTTAAATAAACTTCAATTTGATGGAACCATAGCACTCTCAACAAGAAATCATCTTAATTATGACTCAAAAGAAAATTTAGGTATGGTAGGTCTGAATAAGAGAGCTCTGACGAAGCATTTAACATATTGCATAGAAGTCCCATGACATAGATAATTAGATTCACTTCAACCTACCTATATATTATTTACTTGACTTGGACTATTACTTTTCCAACATTAGAGCTGGTGAAGAGGGATCCTAAACTCTCCAAGAATGTTTCAATTCCATGGAAGATCTTGAGCTTAGAACCAATCTTGCCTTGCTTTAGGTGGCTCTCCATATCCTTTGCAAAATCCCCAAAACGATGCAAGTATGAACCCACCATGAACCCTTGCATATTCACCTCCTTGCCGATCAAATTCAGCAGATTTCTCACCCCCTCTCTCTCAGTCCAAACCTGCACAAAAATACATGTGAGCTTATTAGCATTTGAGGAACAGACAAATACATATGTGGATATGTAAAATTGTCAATACAACGCGTCTTTTTATGCATGTGAACTTAAGTCATGCTTATATAAATATGTGAAAACTTAGAAAATAGACGATTCTGATCATCAAAATACAATGCACGATGAGCCTTACAAGAGTGCCCCTTAAATAAGGTTTTGCGTGTGTATGTATAAGTGATAAGAAGACAAATAGTAGTATATACCATTTACCTTATTGTAGTCAGATATCATGCCACAAAGAGGGATCTTTGCATTCTTGTTGACATGGTTGAGAACTGCCTCAAGCATTTTACCGCCAACATTGTCAAGGTACACATCAATTCCATTGGGAAAGTAGCTGTATAATTTGCAAACAAATATTCCATGATGCATGCTAGCTTCTCAAACTCATATATAATGCTAACTTATTTATTAGCCAAACAATAATTACTTGCTTAAAGCAGCATCAAAATCTGTCTGTGTGTGGTAGTTGAATGCGTCATCGTATCCGAATTCCTCCTTGAGGAGCCTCACCTAATGAAGAACCCACAAATTATCAACAATCAGAGCAACAAATTATTGTACCATAAAACTGTAGTTTGATTTGATTCTTTGTAAGGCCAACAATGTCTCTCTTTGGAAGCGACCTCATCACGAGGTGTCAATTTATATTTTCTTATTTGTTTTATATTCATCACAAGTCATCTGTTTAATTGTTAGGTGACCAAATTAATAATTGAGAGTTCTGCAATGACTTTTTTACAACCTTTCTCTTTCATTTGATTAGTTAAATGGCGAAAAACCGAATAAAGCGTCAGAAGATCAAAAAAGGTTGTCAATAATTCTCCATTATCATTTGATTAGTTAAAGACTTTGTTCAGTTAAACCTCTTAACATTGATGATTGGTGCAGGAAAAGATTTATACAAATTTATAAATAAATCCAATCCTAGACATGTATTTATAAAAAAAAAACTCAAACATTATTTAAACATAGAAACACACCCAAAATCAACCTCAAAATCAACAATTGTATATTTTTTGGGTGTGTTTATAAAAGGTTTTTTAGGTTTTAGACATTAAAAAAATTTCATTTTTGGAAAAAGCCAAAGCTTTTTCAAAAAAGACAAAAAAATCACTCAACTTTCAAATCAAAGACATGCAAATGTATTGGATTCCTTAGGAAATCTAAAAATAAATAAAGGCATTTTTGTCCATTTTTGCTTCTTTTAAAATTTTTCTCTCTCTTTTTGCTTTTTCCAAAATGTCCCGTTTATAAATGGATTTTGAGTGTGTGTAATAATGGGTTTTGGGTGTGTTTATAAAGTGTTTTGGGTGTTGGGTTTTTTTATAATTTCAGCTCCCATTTTGGACGTTTTAGTGAAACTCCCAAAAGATTTATAGTAGGACTGAAAAATATCAATAAAGTATATATTTTCGTGTTTGCTGGGGAATCTAAACACTTACTTTCTCATCTGATCCGGTGCTTCCAATGACCCTGCATCCCCTACGCTTGGCCAACTGTCCTGCATACATTCCAACAGCCCCAGCTGCAGCTGATATGAACACATTCGACCCTGGTTTTGGGTCTGCTATCACCTCAATTCCTACCCATGCTGCAAACCCAGGTACCCCTATAGTATACACACACCATCATTAACCACAAATTTACATATATCCACGTCATAATTAATTTGGTCTTTGCTGAATCAATTAATTTAAGTAAAATCAATTAATGGGATTTGAATTGGAGATAATTAAAAAAAAAAAAAAGAGGAGAAAAACTTACCTAATCCCGTTGCATTGTCGCTTTTCTTCCTATCTCTCTCTTGATGTCACTTCAAATGAGGAGAGAGATAGAAAAAACGGAGCAATGCAATGTAGGTTGGGAAGTATTTCTCAGAAAACAGGAAAAAAGAAAAAGGAAACAGAGATAAAGAAAGTGAATTGCCTAGCAGACTGATATATTCAGGCAATGGAATCCCATCGTTTGGATCAACCTTTCTTGTTAACAAGTGGGATGGCACCACGCCATATTCAGCAAAGGGTGTGAAGGGGCTGACCACTATGTCTCCTTCAACATAGTCACTGTCTTTTGACCGAATTACCCTTCCGACTCCAAATGTTGAAAGTACCTACACATATAGATTATAGTCCTGAGATGTAATTTTGACATCAATGTTGAAAGTATGTATGTGTTTGTAAAATATGTGATATGAACTGAACCTCATTAAGGTTGAACTGAGGAGCGTATAGCCCGTCTTCTCGGCCAGTGATCCTGCTGCGCAAATAGGGTTCTACGGAGATGAAGAGGGTCTCAAGAACGACATGTCGTTCGGGGATCGAATCCGGTGAGAACGTGACAGTCCGGAGCTTGAGATGATCCGAAGTTGGAACACCTTCAGGTGCATAAGAGGCCAAGTACCATTCTCTGCTTTCAACTACTGCCATCTCTCTCTCTCTCTCTCTCTCTCTCTCTCTCTCTGTACTCTACTGTGTTGTGTTTGTCTTACAAATGCCTGCCGGCCTCTTCCTTTTATATATATTATTAGTGTGTGTACACATATTTTTTCGAATAATTTTATTTGTTTTTTTCCCGTCTCGTATTTTACTATATACACTAGAGTCCTGGAAGTTGAATATATATCATATACAGTGAGACATGTCTGTTTTTTTTTTGGTCGAAGAGACATGTCGATTAGGTGGAAACGAATTAAATTTAATGTACAGAATCACCTTCTGTGGTGTATATATGGCGTTGGCATTGCCAAGATAGGTCTGTGGTAAGTAATGTTTGTCATTACCTTTATGTACGGATGAAATACAAATTAAATGGAGCTAAAAGGGAAGAGGGAGGTTGAATTTTTTAAAGTTTTGAATGTGGGAAACTTTTTACTCTGTTTTAGTATTCTGGACGTAAGGCCATCTCCAACCTTTAGACTCAAATCCAAAATATCCCCTCAAACCTCTTCCAACTCAAGAAAATGAAGGACCCAAAATTTGGAAAAACTCAAATTTGGACCTAAATATGGGTCAAAGTATTACATGGACCCAATACTATTCACTGGACCCCATGCTGAGGTGGCAGAGTCCATGTGCTTCTGAAAAATGGTGGGACCCGCGCTACTTACATGGTTTGATGGGCTTGTCTGTGGCATGGGCCACGTGTCGGTATTAGGTGAGAGAGCCGTTGGGCTTTGGCTGTCTCCTTTTTGGAAAAAAAAAAAATCAAATAGTATCGATTGGGCCAACATGCTGGCTGTGTTTCATTTATGTTGTGTTTTTTTTTTATATGTTGTGTGTTTACTTTTGAAATAAAATTAAATTTATGGAATTTCAAATTTTAAAGGTCAATTTGTTCAAAAAATTAAATTATGATGTTATTTAAAAAGATTAAATGAAGAAAAGTTATCCATTAAAAAAAATAGACTTAAACAATTTTTAAATAATTTAATAAAGTTGCAGACTTAAAATTTGAATCCGGAGGGTTGGAAGAAAAAATTATTTGAGTCCGAGCAAAACCCAAATAGTTACTTTTTAGAAGGGGAAAATTTGAATTTAGCCCCTCATAAATTGGAGAAGAACTAAGAAAAGATGCTTAATAAACTTCATACTTGAGGAATCAAAATTCTTCTCATAACAAACAAAGATCGAAAAAGAAATGAATCGAAAAAAATAAGAAGCGCTAGAAGGAGGGCTCGAACCTCCGACCTTGTGGTTAACAGCCACACGCTCTAGCCAACTGAGCTATTCCAGCTTCTTGTTCACATCACTGTTCAAATCAATTATAAGGTAAACCCAAAGAAAGCGAGCTCTGTTATAGAAGCGTTTTCAAAAAATTTACCATAAGTGTCACCACAATTAATATGAAGATATGAATCAATTAATTAAAATTAAGATGTGTGCCATAATCCCCAAAAATCTGCAACGTAATTTCTCAGAAACAAGTCGAGCTTTCTTGCTGTATATAAAAGGTATGAAAATATGAGTGAGCAACTCCAATTACTCGTAGCTTAAGGGCCATTGCCAGTCCTGACAAGTCACACAACTTCTCTGCGCTTTTGTTCTCACATCATCAAGGTACTGTCACTCTCTCTCTCTCTCTGTATGTGGTTGCGTTTTGTGGGTTTTCTCCTTTGCAACCAAAAGATGAGGTTTGCAGCATAAATAAATAGATAGATAGATAGATAGAGGCCTATATGCTGTCAAAACTGGTATACTTGTTTGGAGTTCTGTATGTTATCAAATCCATCCCTATTTTCCTGTCAAAGAAAACTAGTCGTCAGATTTGGTACTATACATCATACATGACATGTTGTATAGAAGTTTAGTTTCTGATTATATGTACAAAATTTCGAATGTTGTGGTGACCACATTGACTTTCACACGTCTAAACTGAGATTTCTCTCAACTAACAAAAATTGCAAGGACTATGGAATTCTTTGATGAACTTGCCACCTGGGCTGAAGAAACTATTGCCCATCACGAACCGGCTCCGGAACAACAATATGAATACCATCAAGAGTATGAACCATATCAGGAACCACAACAATATCAGGAACCAGAACCCGAGGCAGAACAGAATGATGAGCAGGCTGCAGAAGAGGAAGCAGAACAGAATGAAGAGCAGCCTGCGGGAGAGGGAGAGAAAGAAGAAGGGAGGAGAAGCAGCAATAGCAAGAAGCATGTGAAAAGTGTAGTAGCAGCAGCATCAGCAGCAGCATTAGGACTTGGAAAAGCCAAGGTGGGTGCTGAGAAGGCCAAGGCAAAGATCAAGGGTAAAATCAATTGGGTCAAAGATAAGTGCCACCACAATGACAATGTCTCCAAGTGACCTAATATATATGTCCATCTTTACAAGCTGATGAAGAGCGTGGAGTGTAGCTGATTCCAAGTGCAGTAATTTGTTTTCCTTTTTGCCAAAAATAATGATTATTAGATGGATGAAACTCGTTTTCATTGAAAGTTTGATTCAAGCTTGGTTTAACATTTCAATTGATTCGAATTCTACTGTCATTGTTAGTTTAACATTGCATCTATGTTTTATAATTTGGACACAAATTCGTCACTCGATTTTGATTTACTCATAACTCCTAATGCCTTGTTTTCCACAACATCTCACGATTCACATGTATACTCATAAACAAACTTCCAAATTTGATTTGTTACTATTTTTATCAATCATAAATCAGAAAAGTGAAAATATGGACGAGAATGAATGAGTATGAAATCAACAACTCCCCTAATCAATTTAATCCCTTGATTTTCAATTATTGAATTACGAATTTTAATGTGAATGTCTCTAATATCCATATAAACACAATACTACTTTTATTTCCAATGTTACAAAAGAGTCAAGTTACTTTAATCTATTCTAAACCACGGAAGGGAGATTCAAAGTTACTTTAATCTATTCTAAACTACGGAAAGGGGATTCGAACTCAGGTGCATAATCAGAAGCACATAAAAAGGTGGTGATTAGATGTGAATTTCAGGTTTTAGTGAAGGTAGAAATAATATCTTTATCGTTCAATGGGAATTTGTCCCAAGATTAAGAAAGCAACAGGGGACAGTGAATTAATGATCTTCATAAAAGGGCAGCCTCACCAAGAATTTGGGCAGTAATTTTATTTTCTTCAAACTAAATTTCATTTTTATTTTTGTTGAAGAGTTAAATTGGATGGCAAATTTTGCAAAGAAAAGAAAAAGCGCTTACGAGTGAATTGGGGATCTAATTACGAACACACAAAAACGCACGCATTGTCATCTACTTACATAACATAAAGGGTCATCAATCCAAAACCAAGAACATGTCTCAGCAAGTGCATCATCAAACTACTGGACAGAAAGATAATTTACAACTCCTTGAACTTGTTTTATTGTTCTGAGTTTTCAGAATGTCCCAAATGTGTTCTCCCCGCTGTAGGTCATGTAAAGGAAACCGTCTTCATCCTTATTTTCCTCGTAAATTGCAGACAGCATAGCCGCTGCAACAAAACAACAAAGTTACCTGATTATACTGTCTTAAAATATCATATATCAGTATTGGAAAAGAAGACGAAAAAACCACAATAGAGAATTTTATCTCACCTGTGGGTGGTAAAATATTCTTAACAAAAATGAAAATAGCCTTCTCAGGACCGAGCTTGATCCTTTTCCGAACCACATACACGAACTGGCCAACAGTCAGATCAGCAGGCACCAGGTATCTGCATTCAAGCAAACCCGGAACAAATAATTTTATTACTTGTTATGCCAAAAATTCAAAACATCTGGGAGTAACACAGGACCCTATAGATCCGCAACCATTTTCAAATTCATACTTCAAACTTTAAATAGCTTGTAGTTACTACACAGTTATGACTACAAGAACCCACGAAGGGTGCACATGGCAAATGATCACTTGGACTAATTAGAGCGCAAAAACATCAATGTAACAGACAAAATTAGCGCTATGTCTACGATATCCAGACTCCAGAGATGTCACAGATAGAAGCAAAGAAGAAAGCTGTTGTTAAAATGTATACGACATGAATAAGAAATGACTCACTTTTTCTTGTCAATTTCTGGCACGTCACTCTTCTCAGCCCTTTCCACGACCACCTGCAGCAGTCAATGAGTTACAGACCAAAATAGAAGAGAAACACACACAACTGCAATGACAACAAATAACAATCATACTGGAATTCTGTCAGGATACTTCTCTCTTATGCGAGCAGCTTCTGCTTGTCTCCTTTCTGGCATGTACGAAGAGACGAACTTTAAACTTCAATACGGATTAAGAGATAATTGTTTCTTAAAAGAAGTTAAATAAGTATTTAAGAAATGGAACTTGACCATAAATAAACAATCTACTTGATTGGCAATACAACGGTTCTTTCC